TTTGTTGATAACTGCTGAGAAGGCCTCTCTGATTGTTATTCACCCAGTTTAAGGTCTTTACAAATATAATTAGTTCGATAAATAAGAAAAAAGGATCCTCGGCACCAACGGAAAAACTATTATATGATATTTTCTGTTCAAATCATCAAGAGAAGGCAGTCTAACAGTTACATAAACAGGAGAATGAAAAAAATAATATCAATTATCATAGAAAAAAACACAAATTTCTGAATTTTTAATCCCGGATTTCCCATTTTTTTCGGGGGTATGAAAATAAGATTAACGAAATTTGCGTTGGCGAATTAATCGAAGACCGCGAAATCGCGGGCGGTGTATGTCACCGTGTATGCATACTGCTTGCGCAAAAATCGATAAACACCTTTCCGACGGAACTTTTTTTCCGACTTTTTTTACCTTTTTCATTTTTTTGGATTTTTTTCACACATTTTTCGTTTTTTTCTGTTATTCCCTCTTTCCCATCGCGGTATGATCCTCGCATCGGAAAAAGATCTCAATTTTTGTTTCGAGAAAAAAAAATTTTTTTCGTAATAATTTTTCGTCGTGATGGCTGTTGGGACTTTGTTTATAATAGTTTTTGTTCTGCGTTTCAATTACAGAATGAGTGAAGAAGAAAAGATCTGTAAGAGAAACAATGGATGATATGCTTGATTACTTGAGTGACGCTGATTCTTACAAATCTGTAAGTTATTTTCACAGAGCCCACAAAAATTTTTATTTTCAGCACTCTTCGTCGGAACAAGAAAGGTCTGACTCCGAAAAAAAGAAAAATCGGCACGAGATTGTTTTTGGAAGGAATCATCAGCGATGCAGAAATAAATCGGTATTTCTCTTTAAATTCCTAATATTCATATATGCATCTTTATTCTTTTTTTCATTTCAGCGTGATGAAAGAATACAGTCTGAATGAAACTGGTCAATACACATGGAATCCGACCGTCATTAAAAAGGAACTCAACTTGTGAAGGGTTTGAAAAATTTTTCAATTTTCAAATTTTTTTAAGGTCATTTTCAAAAAGAGGAAATCAGCAGTTCCAGTTCAATGATACGTTTTTTTCGCCCAAACGATGGCGGCGTAAAGACTCCACACTTATTTGCCGGTTTTCAATTATTATAAGCCAGCCTTAATTATCTTAACTTTGCAGTTGCTCTATGGGCCGATGTCATTCGCAGCTATTCATCAAAAACAACAAATTCCAGATAGTTGGAGAATGTACACACTCAGCGAAGCCAGAGAAAAAAATACAGTAAAAATTAAACTTTTTTTATCGATTTCCATCCTAATCAGTTATTATAATTTTTAAAAATTATTTTTAATTTCAGATTAGAAGCATGATGAGAGAGGCAAAAGTTGCACGAGTTCAAGGGATGCCGACCGCTGCTTGTGTTACAAATATCTACTTGAAAACGCCGGAAGCAAATCTTAGAATGCTTCCCTCCAAAAAAAGCATGAGGAAGAACATCCAAAACGCTGTGAGAAAGTCGAAGTTCGTCGATCCAAACGACGAAGTAGATTGGACTCAATTCGGTAAATTTTTTGCAAAAAATTCGGTGGTATGAAAAAAATACCAGCGAAATTTCAAACGGCGACTTTTCCGATTTTTTCATATCGCTTGGGAACTTTCCGACGGCCACCTTTCCGACTTTTTCTCGATGAAATCTTCATTTTTAAATCTTCCTATATAAAGTAGGTAGTTGGTTCATGATTAAAACACAAAGAAGTAAGAAAAAGGTAAATAGATTTCTTATAAACCGAAAAATCTAAAGGAAAGAAAAAGTCGGAAAGGGATTCGGCGGAAAAGTGGCCGTCGGAAAGTTTCCTAGCAATATGAAAAAAATTGGAAAAAGTCGCCGTTTGGATTTTTCGCTGGTCTTTTTTTCATACCACCCATTTTTCGGCCGCAAAACACTTATATTCCTTCAGAACGGCGCAATGTCACACACACGACACGCTTCGACGCGCAAAAATGAAAAAGTTGACCGTTTTCGGTCATTCAAAATGCTCATTCTTTTTTTCGGCACCGCCAGATTTTTAAATTTTATCTCTAAAAATGTAAAATTGTAATGGCAAAAACATAAAAACGTGAAACGATATTGCTCTTGTGAAACGCTCCAAAAACGTGATTAATTTTTGCGAGCCTTTTTTTGTAAATGCAAACTGAAACTTATTTTTGCTCGATTTACTGATTTTGTTTTTGTTTTTCACGTTTATTAATTTTTAAACAAAGAAAATCACTAGGTTGTCGCTGAAGTTTTTCGCATTCTTGCTCCAAACTTTTGTGTTTTTTTGAATGTGTAACTTTACAAGCTTCGTTTTTCGGCACCGCCAGAATTTTTTTGTTTTTGATATATTTTTTGAAAGATGTCATAATGAATAACATATCCAAAATTCAGATGTGAAACGCATGTAGTTTTTGTAAAACGAGTTTGTTTTTGTAAACTGTATCGACTTTTTTTGTGGCAGTTTTTCTTCTTGTTCGGGTTACATTTCAAAAAAATTGCTGGATTTGAAAGTTATCTAGTTTTGTAGAGCGATGTTGATTACATAGGAAAACAAGAAATATGAATTTTTTTCAATTAGCGCTTTGCTCACTAACAGAGCTTCAAACCAGTTTTTTTCAACCGATAATTCGTCAATTTTGGGGATTCGCAAATCATTGACGAGAAAAATGCGAAACAGCATTAGTGAAAGTCGTGATTTCCGAAATTTTTCAAATAGTTTTTGGAATGGTTATTCGAAAGAGAAGTTAGTCGTTGAAATCAAACGTTTTCATTTATGCTTTTGTTCTCTCAAAGCAAAGTTAGGGAAGAGGATTATTATCTCATTTCATCACGTCGACTGGTCGGTCTCTTTGCCGCTCTCTCATGGGATAATATTCCGACGCCCGTCAGCCCTGGACAAGCTCGGCGTTGTACTGTTCCAACATGGTGAAGCAGTTTATTCGCTGGTACTACCAACAAGCCCACAGTATTTCCCAACGCTAGCTGTGCCGGGACTTATTGGACAGAGATTGTGGACCGTAATCCGCGCCAACGACTAACTCTTCGATTATACCATGATTCAGCAGAGATTTTCTACATCTTTTTCTTAAGTCTGAATAAATTGAATTGGATTGAATTGAAAGTTAGGGGAGCGCAAAAGCCCCGCCTCTTCTTACCACCAAATCGATGATTTTTTGCTTGCAAAAACGGTTTTAAGACGTTTGCCGGCCCAACCCGGCCTGGGCCGGCAATAATGAAAACGATTCACCATCTAAGACCCTGCCGGAAAAACAAAAAACGCATTACTCAATCCTTTTTTTGCAAATGACACAAAAACTCAAGCGGTCTCATTGCTGATTATCAAAAGCGATGCGTTGTTTTCCTTCTCAACGAGTTCCATTCGAATTGAATTTCAAAGGTACTTACAGTCGCTCTTTTCATCGCAAAGAGTTTCTGATAGAAGAAGAAGAAGGATTAAAGTAGGAAGCGATTTCATCATCTGCAAGTATATCTCTATAGCAAGCTATGACTAGTGCATTCTGTTATTTAGTTTTGACTTTTTTAAGCCAATATTGTCGCCATGACTTGAAATTTCACGGAACGATATTGTGCCGCTGTGCCGCTGCGCGCCTTTGCGAACCTCGGTCGCGCTTTTTAAAATATTTTTTTCTTTTTTTCTTATTAAGGTACTCTACTTTCATGTGCTCCCACAGCAATTACAATCAATTGAAAGCGTGACCTAGATTTGGAAGACGCTTCGCGACCGCACGCAGCGGAACAGCGGAATATCGTTCCGTGAAATTTCAATTCGCGGCACACAGACTATAACATGGGGAATTTCGCGCCAGGAAAGAAAGAAATCATCAAGAAAAAAATTCAAATTTTTGAAATTTTTCGTTTTCAAACTGGATGACATGTAGGCGGAGCTAATAATTGCTCAATCTCTATGAGCCACACCTATCTTCAGCCCGCCCACTTTCGCTTTTTTTTCCGAAGCTCCTCCTACCATACCTAGCAACACGGAGTTATCAGAAACTTTTTGATCGAATCAACAACTGTATGAATGACGGAAGAGTATAATGAGCAGAGGTTGCTTTTGGTGAGAATAAGAATAGTTGGTCTCAGCGCATAAGCTGCCGACTTCCGGTTATTAGGTCTCGGGTTTGGTTTTCCTATTGCCGTCCAATTTCCAATTGTCATAAAAACATTTTTTGCATTTCATCCAGCCAATTATCGTTCAATTTGTGACCTTTCTCTCCGATCCGCTCCAAAGTGATTTTTCTGCACCTGATCGTTCCATACATTATCAACCGAGCCGAAGCCTTTTTTTCTCAATTTTGACCGATGTTCATCCGGGCCGAAAAGCTCACAAGGGAAGTGTTTTTGGTGGCCGGTTGAACTTTTGATGAAACTTTGCTTAAAGATACTATAAGATCTCCTCTTTCCAGAACACGATTAAAATTTCTCGCAATAGATCTCGTTTTCGAGTTATGAAGCTTCAAAGTTTACCGCTGAATAAGTGATGTAAAGCAAGAGGGCATGTCGTTCGCGTACGAGCCCTAGACTCTAGTTGGCAGCGTAGTATAGTGGCTAGAGTCTTTGCGCTGTGGTGTCTATGACCCGGGTTCGAAACTTTTTTGTGCAAAAGTCGTTTTTTGTCAAAAAAATCTTCTAGGGGAATCTGTTGATATTGTTGAAATTGATCAAAATTTTTTTATTTAAAATAACATAGATTTCTATTTAAATTCGGCACACCGGTGAAAAAAATTTTTTTCGGCTTATAAACATGATTATTAGTCCCTTTTTGGGAGAAAAAAAGTTCTACACGGCTTTTTAATCGGCGTTTCAGTCCAGTCAGAGATTTAAAAACATCAAACAGAAACTTACGCCACAGAAAGATAAAGAAGTCTGCTCCAGCTTCTGGAAAGAAAAACTCAGAAAGCGGTCACCGCTCAAAATGAAAAAAAGGTTTCGTTTTGCTTGATAATTGACTGGTTCGGATGTTCAGGAGCGGAAAGATCACGGTTTGGATAACAGCTGGCGACAAGAGCCGGGCCGATAGCCTATCATTTTCTAAGTCATACCCTGCCCGGCCTTTGCGGGGCCTCAACTCATAACGGCCGGCCAAGTCCAAAAAAAGCATGTTATTAAGTCGAAAAATCAGACGTTTGTTTGACAAAAACGTTTTTGGTTTCATTTTTCACTTACTTAAGATATTAAGAGAAACTCTGAGTCAAAGTCGCGTTTTTTTAACAATAGAAAAAGAAACTTATGAGTGAATGTTTTTTTCGTCCGGATAAAAAAGTTTATAAGATTCCAAAAAAATTTATTCGTGGCGCAGTCTATTCGCAAAAAACGTCTAAAAGCCCCGGCTGACATAGCCTAGATCGCCCAGCCTGAAGAACAAGCATGGATAAATTATATATATCTAGATAATAGATCTTGGAAACAAGATCTGTTAAATCCCATAGCCTCCGAGGAAAAATCTCCTAAAAAAACTTGAGGAAGAATCTTGTACTCGTAGGGACCAAAAGAAAAATTATGGAAAATGAGATTTTATCACACCGAATCCACATCGCTCTTTCATTCTGCACCTTTTCAAAGTAGGAGTCGCTCCGGCTGACATCATTAAACGGCTCGCAGTCCCAAGTAGAACCGTCTATGACTCGATTTCTCGTTTCAAAAAGCTCAGCACGTCCTTGGATAGATGTAGGAGAGGAAGAAAAGCAACAGCCGTCACTCCAGACCGGATCAAAGCTGTGAAAGAGAGAATCAGAAGAAATCCACTTCGGAGCATCAGAAAGATGGCGAAAGATATGAAAACTAGTCAAAGTTTGATGGAAAGGATCCTCAAAGACAAGCTGAAGCTCATCTGTTAGCATGTAAAATAAGCAGCCATTCTCTCGGAAGCTACAACCAAGAAACGGCTCGAAATATCAAGAGAGCTCCTTCAGCGCACGCGCACTAGTGAACACTTGGTTACAACGTTCTCTGACGAAAAGCTGTTCACGGTACAGGCCGATTTCAACTCTCAGAATCATCGAGTACTTGCTAAGACGTCTGAGGAAGCTTTTGGCAACGGAAGGACCATTCATCAAGCCTCTCACCCCGCTAGTGTGATGGTTTTCGGATCAGGGTCTGCTGATGGCAAAACACCATTGCTATTTGTCGATCAAGAAGTCAAAATCGACAAGGAAGTCTACATTTCGGAGATTTTGGAAAAGACACTTCTTCCCTGGACTCAGAAGCACTTCAATAGACGTCACTGGGTGTTCCAACAAGGCGGTGCTACAGCACACACAGCCAAGTTGTCGCAACAGTGGTCCGAGAGTCGTTTGCCTGCGTTCATCCCGAAGGACTAACGGCCACCGTTTTCACGAGACCTCAATCCTTTGGACTGCTCCTTTTGGGGTTTTGCAGAACAAGGTCAACGTCAAACCCCACTCAAGTATCGAGGCCCTGAAGAAGACCCTGGTCAAGAAATAGGACGCTTTGTCGCCAGATTACCTGCGTGCAACCATCAACGCCTACCCTAGACGTCTTCGTGCTGTCATCGGAAAGAGAGGAGGTCGGATGGAACACGATTAGCTTATAATTGTTGTTATGATCATGAATAAACTTTTTGTTGATTCCCATGGTTTTCTGACTTTTACTTTTTTATATACAGCACTTATAGCTTGTGCGGGTAATTTTGAGCCACCCTGTATAGGCCTGGCTCATTTTTTAAGCCCTAACGTCCCTCCAAGCCTCTTAGACCTAACACGCTATTTCCTTAGCTTTCAATTTTTTTTCAAGCTTAGGTTACTGTGGAAAATTTTGAGATACGGTACTTTTGGGTTTGTGTTCACGTCAGGGGGAAAAAGAGAAACTTTTTTTTTATTTTTCCGTTTCTCTGCTTCTTATGCTGTGGCTAGTGTTCAATGATTTGTACATGTCGTCGTAGATTCGAATTCTGTATAGGGTGCGTCTTCAACCTGAAATTTTATCAAGGAGTTTCGAAGTGTCGCAAAATGAAGAGAAATTTTGCGGCAAAAGGCCTCTTCGCAGTCGTATCTCTTCATTTTTCTTCCACTTTTCATCGATGTCTTTTTGCGAAAAAGCTTTCTCAAAAATAGTCCCTGAGCTAATTCTTGCAGTTTGTATGATGTGAGACATTTTTTTAAATTGACTTTGAAGCCGAAAAATTTTTTTGAAGAAATCAAAGCAGTCTAGCCTTTAGAAATCTACTTTTTTCCAAAAAACTAGGCTCAAAGAGACGTAATCGACACTTTTTTCGACAAAGCATAGCTTGATGTGAAAAATTTAATTTTTAAAAAGGTGTTTGCGTAAGGTATATTCAAGATACTAGTCAGGCGACTTCTGATTACCGTGTATTTTTTTAACTGAACTGTGTTTGTTATGTGTAATCTATTTGTATCAAAAAAATATTCAAAGTTTAGAACAGTCGACAAACAAAAATTTTTATTTATCACCGACTTGCATTTAAAGACATCAGGATGAAACGTTTATTAGCAGTTTGCAATAGATTTATCAATGCAGGAGAGGGCGTGAAAACTGTAATGTTTATTTTTTTATTTTTTTGTTTTTATTTTTGAAAGCTTTTGCATGATTGGCTGGTGTATGAAGCAGTGCTTACGGTAGGCTTCAACACTACGTGAGCGATTACAGAACTCAATAAGTCTGGAAGGAGGGGTTGGTTTACAAAGTTTTCGAAAAAAAGTTTTAAAAAATTGTTTTTCGCCCAAGAAAGTAGTTTTCTCAACAAAAAAAAAGTCAAATTTAATGTTCGTAGGTTGTACTGACTTCAATTTATGAAGCCCATGTTTCACCTAATTACAAAATTTCTATCGTAAACACTGTTTCAGCACCAAGAGCAGAGTAACCACTCTAGTTTCTCAAATAGCTCCAGTTTGCAGCAAAAAGTGAAATTTGCTACAAAACTTACTCGGAGAACGGTCCTACTTGATCCACAAAAAACCAAACACCGTCTGTGTTGCACATAACGCTGATAGTCGAAACTAAAGGACCTTCGTTAATCTTCAAACCATTTGTAGGATCGTTGTTGGCGTAAACCTAAAATCGTAAACTCTTCACCGGAAGTTCTGCTTGCAGCGAAAAGTTAGATTTCTTTCTGACACAAAAACTCACCAATACTGCGGTACAGCTTCCACTAGGAGAATTACAGGTAAATACTGACGAACATGAGTTTCCACTGAAATCATACAGCAGCGGTCAATAATTAACGGCCTTTGTTCGAATTTATAGCTCAAAAGGAATGCGGCAAAACTCTCAAAACTATGATTTCATTCATGAAAAAGTGTTCAACGAAAAAGCACCGCTGCATTTTTAAACTATACAGTACCGCTCAAAAGTATATTAAGTTTTTGGTTTTTTTGAGGATATCTCAGCGAGTACTTATCCGATTTATACATAACTTTCAGGGATAATGTAAAATATACTTTGAAACATATATGGTATACAAAGACATGTCCGCAATCACTGTGACGCGTTTTAGGCATTTTTTTATTGAATTCAATGTTTTCATGCTTTTTATTTTTTTATTTATTTTTTTATCAAAATTTTTTAAAAAGTAATAGTGCTGCCATATGTTTTTTCCCATGTTTTCAAACATGGGAAGAATCTCTGAAAAAAAGGATTTGACTGATAACGACAAAAGAACCATCGTTGTGGGTCGTCAAAATGGACTGACCATGATGACGTTGGCAGGAATGTTCGACGTGACAGAGGCGTGCATTTCTCAGTCCCTAAAGCGTCGGAAAGCTCAAGATGGCTCTACTAAGAGCCAACGCACTGGAAGACCACGTTTCAGTGATCGTAATGGCGATAGAAACATTTTGAAGACGCCTAGAACCAATCCAAGACTCACCGCCCCTACGATCAGACGGGAATTTTTCTTGAATTCGCCATCTCCGCCATCCGTCTCGACCGTGAAACGACGTCTGAATGCTGCTGGAATCATGGGAAGACGTCCAGTGAAGAAACCGCTGATTTCTGAAAAGAATCGAGCCGCCAGGGTGAAGTGGACGAAGGAGCATCTCAACTGGACCCGTCAAGACTGGAACAAGATTCTGTGGTCCGACGAAACGGTCCTCCACCATGTTTCACAGTGGGTAATTGGTATTTTGGATGATATCTGGACTCAATTGGTCCACGAACCCACTGAATTCCGTCACTCCCGAAGAGGAGGAACTTGCTTTCGTCGGACCACAGAATTTTGTTCCAGTCTTGACGGGTCCAGTTGAGATGCTCCTTCGTCCACTTCACCCTGGCGGCTCGATTCTTTTCAGAAATCAGCGGTTTCTTCACTGGACGTCTTCCCATGATTCCAGCAGCATTGAGACCTCGTTTCACGGTCGAGACGGATGGCGAAGATGGCGAATTCGAGAAAACTTCCCGTCTGATCGTAGGGGCGGTGTCTTGGATTGGTTCTAGACGTCTTCAAAATGTTTCTATCGTCATTACCATCAGTGACACGTGATCTTCCAGTGCGTTGGCTCTTAGTAGAGCCATCTTGAGCTTTCCGACGCTTTAGGGACTGAGAAATGCACGCCTCTGTCACGCCGAACATTCCTGCCAACGTCATCATGGTCAGTCCATTTTGACGACCCACAACGATGGTTCTTTTGTCGTTATCAGTCAAATCCTCAGAGATTCTTCCCATGTTTGAAAAACATGGGAAAAACATATGGCAGCACTATTACTTTTTAAAAAAATTTGATAAAAAAATAAATAAAAATAAAAGCATGAAAAACATTGAATTCAATAAAAATGCCTAAAAACGCGTCACAGTGATTGCGGACATGTCTTTGTATACCATATATGTTTCAAAGTATATTTTACATTATCATTGAAAGTTATGTATAAATCGGATAAGTACTCGCTGAGATATCCTCAAAAAAACCAAAAACTTAATATACTTTTTGAGCGGTACTGTAGCTCTTGAAACCGCCTAAACAGTATCTATTCAAACGAGATTTTCATGCTCATTAGTTTTTTTTTCTGAAAATAAATTCAGTAAGCCACTCTTCAATGTAGCCGTGTTGCATAACACGAACTAATTCAAGACAACATAAAAAAAGGTTAGTTAACCTTATAACGGGTCGGTAATCATCAGGACCCTGCGGATCGATTTTTAATGTATCTGAGTTGCAGGGACATCCTAAATGATTCAAGTTGTTTTTCTGAAACTCGTGCATTGTTCAAAGTGACTCCGCGAAATGCAAAAAAACCCGTTAAAGAAAGGAAAAGATAACTATATTTTTGGATAGTCAGAGACCATTTTGCATTTCGCGGAAATTATTTTGAGCTTTATAATAGTTTTGCAAATGTTTTTGAACCGCTTGTGGTAGTCGTAGTCATCGTTGTAGTTGATGTAATTTCCATTGAAGTAGTTGTTGCTTCAGTCATCTGTGAAAATTTGAAAACTTTATTTTTGAGACCACACACTGCGAATTGCTCTTTTCTGCTGTTGATTCAATTTGCTTTTTTTCTTCTTTTTAATTTTTAAAAAATATAGGTCACTTTTTTTGAAAAAAACGATTTGAGGCTGTGATTGAGCTAGAGAAAACTTTTAATACCTTTTTCCTGCCAAGAAGAAGTTATTGCTTCGCTTAAATAACACGGAAGGTCTTTTTTTGGGTTTGAAATTTTCTATAAATTTGTTCAAACAATCTTTTTGTCGCTATGCCATTAGTTTAGTTTTTACGGATAATGATGAAAACATCGAAATTTCATGATTAAAAACCGTTCCAAAAAAACGTTCGATGGCCGTTTTTCTTTCAAAAATTTCTTAACTTACTAAATTTTTTTATTCATTTTTTTCTGAAGTTATAGCCCGCCATCACATTATCAGAGATTATTTTTTAAGAACAGGAGACCCCATTTCAGTAAACCATTATAAAAAGATCTTCGCGCGTTCTAGTTGAAATGAATAAGAGTTTGGTAGCATTTCACTATGTCGAAAGGCAACTTTCGCCTTTTTGCTACAGAAAAGTCCATACAAATATGAATAAATACCTGAATTACGATCTTTATTGAGAAAATTTCCTTCAAAATTTTTCCTTTTTATATCAATAGAAATCAAGGAAATTGCAAGAAAAATTTGCAGTCGAGAGGAGTGGAACCTACTCAAAAAAACAATCATGAGACTGGCCCCTGAAGTTTTCAACTCGAAATTTGTCACTGAGTCCAAGTAGTTCTTTAGTGAGATTGAAAATGTACCTTACTAATCCGCTTCAGTTAAAACTTCCTCCTTGAATATCCGTTACAGTAGGGTATCAAGACAAACTTGCTATCAAAATCAAATTTTTTTACAAAAAAATGAAAGTCAGGGCGTTATCGCCGTGAACTTGATCTAGTTGCCAAAGACCCCGTGAATTATTGGTTCATTTCTATCGTTCGGCTAAATGGCTTGGCTTGGCCGCGATGCCAAGGGCTGCCTTCCACCTCTGGCGAGAAAAGTCTTGAAAAAGTACATTGTAATAACATAGACAATAAACTCGTTTAAATGATGACGAAACTAACACACTCACACTACTC